CTGAGAATCAAACCCAGTGCCTCATATGTTCGAGGCAAGTGCTCTGCCACTGAGCTACAGCTCCAGCCCCTTAAAAACTGTTTTAAGAAGGGTATTTAGCTTGTATAAGTCCATAAGCAAGATAGGATTCAGACACAGAACAAATGAACTGATCAATGACCTTATCAAGGACCCAGTTTTTCCTCTTACTAGATCATTCCCAGGGCTCATTTCATTCTAATATTGACCTCTATGTGATTGCAAAAATGGCTCCCAGAAATGACCAGAGCTGCTATATGTTCCTGTTCAGATAGAGTTAGAGAGTAAGAGAGGTATGATAGAATTTCCCCAAGCTATAAATGTATTGAACCAATTAAGTCATAACTTAGCCCAAATCTGAGCATATGGATCTCTGTAAGCTTAAATTTGAAGTCACAGTAGACCTTAGCCATGTTGAAAAAATATACTGGTGAGCAAATAGCAAGTATAAAAGCTTTGATGTGGGACTTTCCTGGTTCTGCTCAGGGCCAGCAGGGAGAAAGTAGCTAAGGCAGAGAAAGAAACAAGTTCACGGGGTAAAAGGCAAAGGAGCAGAATAGGAAGGGGAGGTAGAATGTAGTTCACCGAAAGAGTCAAACTTTTATTGACTGAGGTTAGGAGTCACTGCAGACTTCTCAACAGAGGAATGACATTATTAGTCAAGATTTAAAAGGGTCGATCCACTGCAATATGGAAGAAAGGCTGTAGGGAGCAAAAATGGAAGCTGCTCTTGGAGACTACAATAGTAATCCAGACAAGATAGGAAAGTGGCTCAAACCAGGAGAAGCAGAGTCAGGAAAATGGTCAGATTCTAGATATTTTCTGAATAAACAGTATTTGCTTGCAAATTAAATGTGCATTGTAAGGAAATTGAGGAGTCAAGGATGACTCTAGTTTGAAACTAGAAAGATGGAGTTGTGCTAACCTAGATAGGAAGAATATGGGAAGAACAGGTTCACGAGTCAGGATCAAACATTGAATTTTGCTCTTGTCTCTGGAGTTCAAAAGAGAAGTCTAGGATAGACACATAAATTTGTCTTTGGTACACAGGTGGTACTGAAAACCTTGAAACTGACTGAGATCACCAAGGGAGTCAGTATAGATAGAACCAGAGGTTGAGCTGCATGACATTTCCATTTTAACAGTTCAGGAGGAAGAGGAGGAACAGAAGAGGAATATGCAGTGGGAGGTAAGTGAAAAACATTAGAGAATGTGATATCCTGGAAGTCAGATGAAGAAAGTGTCCAAGAAGGAGGGGGGGATCAAGGGTGTCAAAAACTACTGACAGGATGGCATGGTGGTGCACGCCTGGAATCCCAGTGGCTCTGGAGGCTGAGGCAGGAGGATTGCATGCTCAATGCCCTAGAAAACTTAATGAGACCCTGTCTCAAAAAAAAGGGGGTTGGAGATATGGCTCAGTGGTAAAGTGTCCCTGGGTTCAATCCCCAATATCAGAAAAAAAAATAACTATGACAGATTAGGTAAGATGAAGACTGAAAATCCTATAGTATTTTGGTTACATTGTGGAGGACATGGCTGAACCTGAAAGATAGCACTTTCCATGGAGAGTAGGTTTAAGAGACAATAGGAGGAGAAAATTCGAATATAATGAGAACATCCAACTTTACCCTAAAAGGAAGCAAAGGGGCTAAAAATGTGGCTCAGTGGTAGAGCATTTGCCTGGAATGTGTGAAGCCCTGGGTTTGGTCCCCAGCACCACCAAAAAGTGCAAAAAAAAAAAAAAATGGTGTGGTGAATGGAAGGAAGAAGTGGCACCAAATAATTTAGTTTTTTAGGTGAAAGAAATGATATCATATTTGTATTGTGTTGGAACTGAATAGTAGAGATATGGAAAATAGCTGCCTTTGGTGCCTTTGATTCAGGGACAGGAATAGGACTGAGTTTACAAGTAAAAGAATTAGACTTAGATGGGAGCCTGGACATCCCATCTATAGAAAAAGAGGAAAATTGTATGTTAGTACATATGTTAGTAGATAGGTAAATGTGGTAGGGAGATTCTGCAAAAGTTCCCCACCCCGCCATGATGCATCAGTATTCTCAGTAAACATTCTCAAGGTCATCAACTGAGCATGAGGATGGGGGGAAGGTGATGGGGATTGAGGAGAGAAGAGAAGCATAATATAGTTTTCACAGACACTAGAAGAATAAATGGAATAAAGATGCATAGTATTAATCCTTGACAGCATAAAAAGAGTCATAACTGATTTTAAAATGGGTTCAAAATAGCAGGATTAATGGATTTTTAAAAATTGTTTTTGTATTTTATAGCTACAGCACAGTACATGGATGCAGAGCCAAAACTTGGAAAGTTAGATGTAATCAAGATGATAGGGGGCTGGGGATGTGGCTCAAGCGGTAGTGCGCTCGCCTGGCATGCGTGCGGCCTAGGTTAGATCCTCAGCAACACATACAAACAAAGATGTTGTGTCCGCCAAAAACTAAAAAATAAATTAAAAAAAAAGATGATAGATTTGCCAGGAGAGTTCAGCAAATTGAGAGAGGAACCAGGCAACAGAGGTCATTCACAAGGAAGTGATTATAATAATTGACTGTGGACTTTAAGGATAAAGAGAAAAGACGTCAAGAGGGTGGGGGCAGAAAAGAGGCAACATGATTTTGGATTCAATATCCTGGTAAGGGGAAGGGTTTTTTAAGTCAGAGCACTAGAGGGAATGATTTAGAAGAATAGGAGGTGTGGTGAGAGAGCAGAATCATGAAACAGAAGTTAGGGATAGCGTAAAGTTAATGATAATGACAAGACTGGGAGTAATCATTGACATGAGTAGCTGAAACGGAGAGTAGAGTGGAACTCAAGGTCACTGGAGGAGAGGAATCAAGGAACTGAGAAGCTAGGGTAGTGAAAAGTTCATCATCTATACTACATAGATGTTAAATCCCCTAGAAGTAATATAGGATTAGTATTGGAGAGAGTGACAGTAAGTCAGAAACTAGAGTCCAAAAATGAGGAAGAGGAATCAGGTTGGGAGAGAACCCTTGGGGGACAGCAACAGGGAAGATTAGTGAGTGCTGAAACTGATGACATAAAGTTGAAAACTCAAAGGCAATTTTAGGATAGGGAGGGGACATGGTCTAATAACCCAGTACTGGAAATGCAGATTTTATATAACCTAGCTTTCACTTAAAATCCTTGCTTCTTGGTGAATTAGCAAAGCAGGCATTTCTGAGTGTTTCCCTCTCTGTTATGGTTTGGCTCTTCAATGTTCCATAAAGGGTCACATGATAAAGGTTTGCTCACCAGCATCTGGTGCTACAGGGCAAGGGTGGATCCTTTAGGAACTAGGGCCTAGTGGAAGGAAGTGAAGACATGGGGGGCATGCTCTTTCCCCTTTTGGCTTCCCAGCTACCTTGAGGAGAGCAACCTTCCCTACCACACACTCCCACCACCGAGGTACCTTCTTGTTATAGGCCCCAAAGTAATGGAGGCCAAAGGACCATGAACTGAAACCTCTGAAACTATGACCCAAAATAAAAGTTTCCTCCTTTTAAGTTGGTCAAGTCAGGTATTTTGTCACAGTGACAGGAAGCTAATGAACATAACTCGCCTTCATTGACTTCCTGGTTCTTCTGCATATTTGAGTTTGCCTCTCCTGTTCTAGAAATTCAAGACTTTCTAAATACAGTTCTTAATTGTATTTTGCCTCTGATGCTCAACATATTCAGTAGCCCCTTTAAGAGATGGAATTTCAAAGGCATTTACACTTTGACAATAAAACCTTAGTCACTTGAATGAAGGGATATGGAAACTCCTGCCAAACAGCACAGATTTTATCAATTTTCAAGTATGTTTTTATGGAATACTACTTTTTTTTGGAACTTCAGGTAGGGGTGCTAACTGCTAGTGCTAACTGGGCCATCTCCTCTTCCTAAAGTTGAGATTTTTCTCACCATTTTTGAAGCATTTGTCTCTCTGTTTTTGGTCAGTGAACTTGTATCATGCCTGTGGCAGAGTATAATGGTATAAACGATAGAAGATTTTAAAACAGCTATTTTTCTTAAACTCCATGATGAAGTAAAAGAAACATTTGGTGAAGCACTTTGAGAAAGGAAAAGATGGTCAAAGTTTCATCAGGAAAGTCTAGGGAGAAGAAAATGTACTAAAACTAAATCATAGTATAGAGGAGGAGCTGCCTTCTGAAACACTTTACTCGGATTTGCTTGGTGCCTCTAGTTTTTCTATTGTTGACCTCTGTGCCCATCTTTCCCAGCAATCACTCCACGCATGCACTTTTTTTTTTTCTTTCATTTGTTTAAATTTGGTTAAGAGTTGGGAGGAAAATATGCCCAAAACTTGACAGGGGCTGTCTTCAGTTGAGTGAGGTCACAAGTGATTATTTTCTTCTTTTAATTTTTCTGGAGTTTCTAAGTGTTCCTAATGAACACATATCTCTTCTGACAGAATGACATGATATAAACTTTTGTCAAGACAGCCCGACGTGTTGGTGGACGCCTGTAATCCCAGCAGCTTGGGAGGCTGAAGCAGGAGGATCACAAGTTCAAAGCCAGCCTCAGCAATTTACAGAGGCCCTAAGCAACTTAGTGCAATCCTGTCTCAAAATTTAAAGGGCTGACGGATGTAGCTCAGGGATAAAGCGCTCCAAGGTTAAATCCCCAGTTATTCCACCCTCTCCCCCACAAAAAAAAAAGACATGAAGACAGAACTCATTATTATCCAGGCCAGATGACAGCCCATCCCAGGACAGGCAGAAGGAGTGGTGGGCGCACAAGTTCCTAAGTCCTGAAATCCTGATCTTTCTCTTTGGTTGTTCTCTTGGGTCACACTCCACCCAGCGGAACAAAAGAACCCTTCAAAACAGGAAGCCAACCAAGAGCCAGAGGCAGGGAAACCTCATTGCCAGGCCCGAGGTCCTTAGGGGCACTCTAGGGAGCGGCGCTTTGCGTCACGTGGGGACCGCCCCTTGTGGCGCCAGGGCACCGTACGTTCTGAGGTCCGGGCTGCGGTCGTGGAAGCAAGATTTCCGCGGTTGTGTAACGGGGCGAGGTGCTATCGAGAGGCCGGGGTTCTGCATCCCCCTGCGCCTCCTGCAGCCGCGCCATGGCGGGGAGCGGCGGGGCCTGCGGCGCGCTCTCGGCGCACACGCTCCTGTTCGACCTGCCGCCCGCGCTGCTGGGCCAGCTGTGCGCGGTCCTGGACAGCTGCGATGGCGCGCTGGGCTGGCGCGGCCTGGGTGAGTGCGGGGCGGAGCGGGGCGGGGCGGCGGGGAGCCCAGCTGCGCGGCCCGGAGCTTCCCACCCGCACCCGCCCGATCTCGGGCACAGACTTCCCGAGACCCACACGCTCTCTCCCCTTCCCGTCCAAAGAAACTTGGGAAGTCTTTGCGGCATAATCAAGTGAACTTGGGAAAGATACCTCAGGACAGCATCGAACTATTCCTGCCTTTCGGTTCGTGGTCTTCAAATACGATGTCTGTCATTGCAGAGTCAACTCGGAATAGAATTTTCACAGTAAATCATTTTGAGAACTTTAACAGGTTTATTCTTTGATGTTTACAGTGCGCTTCTGAGTCCCCAACTTACTTACAAATGAAATGCTAAAGTTAATTAGACTGTAGTTTACTATCCTGGCTCTTAAACATATCTTGCTTATTTAACAACGTAGCGGAATGAAAGTTTATTCTGAAGAATGACTATTTAGAAAAATTGGTTTCAAAACTCCATTTTATGCAGATTGGAAAGTTGAGCAACTGCCTTTTGGAAGTGTTGAGTGTAATCATCAGAAATAATTTCAGACAAAAATCTTTGTTTTGTACGGTGTTTTGGATTAGATTTGATAGCTCATGCTAAATATGACTATGTCAAAACAGCTTTCCATTGTCTGAAATAGTAATTTTTCTTACCAAGAATAGCAGAAAACCTATGAAGAGGAAGTTTTCTTGGTTTTGGATACACAAAGTGTGTACGTTTTCTGAAACTATAGCACTGGACTTCTAGTTATATAAAAATCATTTGTATATTTTAAGCTCTATAATCTTGAATTATGGCCCTTCAGTAAAAAATCTCAGAAATGGCACTTGACTCTGATTTATGGAAAGCATAGATTTTCAGCATGCATTTGAGAGACAAGAGCTCTTCTCTACCAAATATGTTTGAGATGTTTTTGAGATAGGACATGTATATTTGTACCTATAGATTTCCTACAATCGTTGAATTTGTGCAGGAAACATGTTTTAGTTCAGTGCATAAGTAGTGAATAGGGCTAGGTGGATATCATAAATGAATGAAGCAGGTTGATGGAGACAGTGAAAATATGAAAACCTAAGTCCCATTAAAAAGAGGCAGTCAGCATTCAGTCCCTGGGCATTGCTGCTTTCCAGCAAGTGCAGCTTAATTTGTTGGAGATCTTTATATTCCACAACACTGAAATCTAGATATTCTTGCTTTAAATAGGTGTCTTATATACCCTCCCCAGTTGCTCTGAAAGTCTGATGATATCACCATCACCAGTGTTTTAACAGGTAAGGACACTGGAGTACAAATTGGTTCTGTAACTTGCCCAAGTTCACACAGCTGCGAGTGGCAGAGCTTGGACTTGAGCCATGACAGTAGATGCAAGGTTTGCACCCTTAACCACAGCAACTCTATACTTCCCCTCTGTGTCCTCTTTTTTTTTTGCTGCACCTCACAACCTCCCTAAACCATAGCATTTCTGCCTTCAAAAAAAAAAAAATTTCTGTGAGCTATTTAAATATACAGCCAAGTTTTCCTAGTTGTAGCAATAAATGAAGATGATTCAAGTTAGGACAAGAAAGGCTGTCTCTTCAGAGCAAACGAAACAGCCACCATTGCTGTTACATTTGACAAAAGGCAAGCAGAAGAGTGGGAAGTTTTCAGGTGTGTCTGACTGCAGACTGGCTAACTCCAGGTGAGCCAGCATCCTCTCTGATTGTTTGGGTGTGCATATTTGGCTTTCTCAAATTGGTCTTAAACTGAAAGTAGGAGCAGAAATTAAGCAAGTTGTTAGATACTGATCAAGTCCTGGCAGTTTGGGGCCAATTGCTAATTGTTTGGCTCCCTAGACTCATTGCTACAGATAGTAGTCTTGGACTGGTTACTGTAGCTAGAAGGCTAGCTTCTTGGGCTTGAGTTGATACTCATTATAGGCCAGAGTTTTATCTTTACTTATAGTCTGGTCATTGTCCCTTTGATTCTCTAGGGGAGGGATCTAAAATATTTGCTCTTTGATATTCCAGCTATAATTCACTGTCAGGGAGTTATGCGTATTGACTGCCTGAATCTCGTAGCTGGAAACTGACCAATTGCTTCACAAACTGTTAACTCAGCACTATGGAAGGATGCCCAGTTCAGGGTGTTCGGGGTAATTGAGTTAAATGTGCTGTGTTTCCCTATTGACACAGTGAAGGAAGAAAGTGGCAATGGGATGCAGGAATGGAAAACTTGACCTTTAGGAGGGGAAGGAACAATGATAGAAAATACTGAACCAAAAGGCTATGCTGGGGGTAGTGGGTGTAGCTCAAAGGCAGAATGCATGCTCAGCACGGAAGAGGCCCCAGTTTCCATCCTCAACGTGAGTGCATGCACACACACACACACACACACACACACACACACACACACACACTGCACTTTTATGCTTAGGCTGGGTGAAATTCTGAAGGTATAGAGGGACCCCGATTTTAAATGGAAAACAACAACTGTAATAGTAATAGGTGAAACTCTCTCAAGCTGATCAGGATTCTTGTGATGTGAACATCAGGCTACATTGACAGAGGTGGCTCAGATACGGATGCTTGCAGCCCCCATATTATGATGCAGGATAAGGTAGACCAGTGGCTGACACACTGGAATCACCCCTATCAGCTTTCAAATAGAAAATTGCCCCACCCACTTTTGGAACAGCTAATTCAGTAAGTCTGGGTGGAGTTCCAGCATCTTTTGTTGCTTGGCCTGGCTTGGGAACCATGGGTGAGGCCAAATTCTCTTCTACTTCACTTAATTCTTTTTATCTTTAAGAATATTCTACACATGACTCTTCACATCATTTTGACAATTGTTGTTATTAAAAATAGTGTGATCCTGATATGATCAGGTTGATGTTAATGACTTTATGGCTTTATGATAGGAGCAAGAGCCCTAATTAGAAAATGTTATTTACTTCATAGACTTCATAATAGATATACAGAACCTCTGGTGATGAGAAACTGATGTGACTCCATTTTTGAGAAACCAGCCTCTACCTCAGAGCAAAGCCTGTCCAAGGAAGGGGGCGTGACCCTTGTCCTTGGAAAAACCCATAGAGCACTCCTAGACACATACCCACTGATTTGTTTATCTACAAATAACAGGAGAGATCTGCATCACCAGGTGTCCCTGACTCAGTTAGGCCAGGTGAGGACCCATAGCAACCCCCTAACAACCACCAATCAGCATGAGACAGGGAAAATACCTGGGATGCCAGATGACCTCCCAGTAGTTTATGGTGGTTGATAACATGTTGGGAAACCATGTAGTTCAGCACGTACTCCCCTAGTGGCTTAAACCAAGCAGTTCAAAGAAACCCCCCTCTTGTACTAACCAATCACCCCTACCCAACTTGTTCCCACCAGTGAATGTGCTAATCAATGTTAAAAGTTGTTGTTTGATTTTCCCGTGTTGTGGAATGATTTGCTGTGTGATGCTGTGACACATAGAGTATCCCTCCAAAATCTATAAATCCTCACTGAACAAAGGACCAGGACTCACTCCCTGGGACCACAGTGTTGGGAACAGTTGTGAGTCCAGGCTTGAGCTTGCAATAAAGACTCTTGTGTGATTGCATCGAATTCGGCTCCTGGAGGTCTATTGGGGTCCCATGAATCTGACATTACAGTAACAACTCCTATTTTACATGACCATATACAGATATTTAGCTTAAATTGGAGCAGCTCACACTATAAAACTTTGTAGCACTTATGATTAAAGGAGATGTCATTTTTTAGATTCTATATACAGGGTGATATTCAATTATCTTCTTCAAAAAGGAAAGAAAACTGTATATTAAATTATATTAATTACTTTAAAACAATCAAAATGTAAAATAATCTTAGAGTACATTTGAACATTGAATCAAATTTTCAAATAATAGCAGTAATAACAATAGCTGCCATCTATGAAGTGCTTATTATTTGACAGACACTATTGTAAGCATTTGACATGGATTATTATTTACTTATCACAAAATTCTCTTAGATTCTTTCCCTGTTTTAATTTTATTGATTGGAAAATTTGATTATTAGAGAATTTAAGTAACTCACCTTAAGTCACAGTCTACTAAATGCCGGACTAGGATCCTAATCAAATGGTTGGACTTTAGGTCTCCTCCTCCTTTTCCTACTCCTCCTCCTCTTCCTCCTCCTCCTCCTTTTTAAATTTTTAAATGGTCCTTATTTTCAGAATGGTTTTAAATGTACAGAAAAATTTAGAAGTTGGTATAAAGAGCTCCTATATCTACTCTATATGCTTCCCATATACTCTATACCCAGTTTCTCCTATTATTAATATCTTACATTAGTATAGTATCTTTGTTACAATATTGACACATTATTAATTAAAATTCACATTTTATCTGTGCTTCCTTCTTTTTTACCTAATGTGCTTTCTTTGTTCCAGGATTCCTTCTAGGTTGCCACATTACATTTAGTTGTATCCTTCACCTCCTCTTGACTGTGATGATTTCTGAGACTTTCCTTGTTTTGGATGACCTTGACAGCTTTGAGGAGTACTGTGTGTATTTCAGCTGGGATTTGTCTGATGCTTTTCTCATTAGTAGACAGGTTATGGATTTTGGGGTGAAGACCATAGAGGTAAAGCACCATTTTAATCACATTTTATCATAGATATGTACTGTATATGTGAGTTATCCCTGTTAACCAGAGCTGAGGATGTCTGTCAGGTATCTACACGGTAAAATGACTCTGTCCTCCTCTCTCCATCTTGTACTCTTTGGAAGGCAGTCATTGTGTGTAGCCCGTAGCTCCCCCCAACCCCCAAGGAGGAGAGAGATATATTTCCTTCCCTGAAAGTAGAGTAGATCCTGTGTTTTTTTTTTTTTTAAATACTATACGACTTCTCCCACTTTCCAATGTTCTCTTTAGTTCTCACTTCTACTCTAAGCTCCCATCTCATTGCTCTGTTCCCCTTAATGGTAAAATTCCTCAAAAGGGCTACTTAT